TGCCCTGTGCCCCTCCAAACACGAGCGTTGCTCCTCTCTGCCAGCTCCCAGAGCCGCTGTTAAATGCAGGACCATTTTTCCCTCCTCCTTCTTCTTCCCAGACAGCTATGTGGACAGCCGAGCCGTACTTCTGAGCCACTCTCATTACATGGTGTAATGAGAAAGTTGAGCTGCCGCTCCGCTGTTTATCAAGGAAACATCCATTATAGATGGCATTTTGTCTGTGCTAAACAAAGGGCGTGAAGACGAGGACGTGGGTTTAGAAAAAAAGCGGTTTGTTCCCATGTTTGGTGTTTAATCAATACCAAGCCAGCCTGGATCCGTTCCTTCCCTCGCACACACCCCGAGCCAAGCCTCCCTCATGGGTCCTCGGGCGATGAAGCAAAGCTTCCCCTCCCTGGGGGATCGCTCCTGAATTAGGATCCCAAACCCAGCCAAAGAGAGATGGTTTCTGCCATGCAGAAATGCACCTCACCAGTGCATGCAGACACAGGGGTCCTGTGAGGAGCTGGGCAGGATCCGTCCCCCTCCCAGCCACAAATACACTGAAAATGGGGAGAAAACTCAGGCAAAGGAAACATCACCCTGCTTTTGGATGCTGAGGAGCTACAGCCGGTGGAGGCTGGGAAATTCTTCAGCACCAGCATCACTGAAGCATATAAGACCAGATTATTTGTGTTCCTGACTTGCTGATGCAAGATGAAAAATACAGCAAACTGCAGCTGCTGAAATCAGCTCTTTTCTCCCCTTTCCCCTTAGCTGAGGTTAGTGTTTTGCAAAAGGTTTTTATATTCTGGGAGCTAAAACCTGTCCATTGCAATCAGACACAAAGCTCAGGGAGTTTGTCGGGCTCCTCCGTTGTGCTGGGAAAAGCTTCCTGACATGAAAAGCTTCCCAAATTGCAGCGATCTGAGCCTGATTGCTCCTGCTCTCGCAGCCAGGAGCTGGGCAAAGGTGCTTGGGGCTGGGGCATCTCACCGGGGATTTTCAGCAGCCTCACAGGTCAAGGCCATTTGAATTGCTTCATCTAGAGCAAAGCCCAGCATTTCAGCCCAGAATAACCCAGATCCTGAACCCCGTTCTTGGGAAAGGAAGGGCACAGGTCGAACGCTCGCCCTGACCCGAGTCCATGCAGGGATGCACGGGAACTCGGGGGCCACATCCTGGCTCCTTTGTGCCCTCAGAAGGGCAGTGCAGAATGGAGGGGCTGCACAGCACCCTCCTCCTAACCACGGGGACCCCCAGGTGATCCAGACCCCGCTCCATGCCAGGATGCTGCCAGCTGGTTAAAATACCCCGGTCCAAAGCATTCTGAAAACAGCCACCTGCAGACCCGTTCTCAGTCGTGATGGAAGAGCTGGTGGCTTTTATCTCTCCAGCTTTGTGACCACTGATGGGACAGGGGCTGGTGGTCAACGACCATTTAACCACCAGCCCTGTGCAGCTGGAAATCAGCAGCAGAAAGCCATGAAAACCTCCAGAATGACTGTTTTCCACACTGGACCATTAATTTTCCCTGTCCTCCAACTCCCCTGCTTTTTTGGGGAAGGAAGCAATGCGATCTCAGGGGTGGGTTGTGTCCTGCAGGAGCAGCAACCCCTACGAGGGGCAGCCCCCTGCACCCAGCTCAGCACCGCCCGCGGCGAGATGGCAGCAGAAATCTCCCTGCAATGTCCGATCCCAGTGGAGAGGGCTTTGCTCTTCATTAGGCGTTCAGCCAGGAGGCTTAATTACACTCACAGCCCATGCGGGAGCATTATCTCATCTCCTGTCACCGCTGGGTTTCAGAGCAGCTTGCCGATCTGCTTCTGAGTTCAATGCCCTTGCCAGTCCCATGTGCAGATAAGGAGGACAAGCATCGGTCTGCGATGCCGGCCTGATAAAAACAGGTATCGAGGGGAAATCCCATGGCAGACCCCGGCTTTGGGCAGGGGCTCGGGATGACGGGACACAGAGGGGTTTCATGCCTGGTTGCTCCTGGGTGGATGCTGGTGGGTGCAGATGCCGTGGGAAGGAGGACAAAGCCTGCGCACTCTATTTATACACACTCCCGGCACCTGGTGATGATCTTGGCAGAGGATGCCTGCCAATGCTTTGTTATTTATAATCGCAGAGGGCTTTAGAGAGGCAGGAGAGAGAGGAGAGCCCCCCCCAGCACCAGGCAGCCCTGCAGACCACCCTGCACCTGCAAAACAAGCCCAGAGCCGCTCAGCAAAGGGGATGCAGAACAACCGACCCCATCCTGCCCGCACAGGGATGCAAACCTTGCCAGGCTTTTGCAGAAGAGAAGCACAAGCTGCTCCCCTGAAGCTGGACCAACAGCATCTCCAGGGGTCCTGGAGTGATGCACTAGAGTCTGTCAATGCTCGGCATCGGGTGCAGCCCTGTCTGCACAGCGGCTCCAAGCACAGAGCCTGCAGCGAGACCCTCTGCATCACTGCTGAATGAGATTCCCTTGCTCCAAGCCAAATCCACCCTAAGTATGTAGCACCTCTGCATCGGTCAAAACCCTACAACGAAGCACAAACAAGCAGCTGCCAGAGGAGCTTGCATTACCCACAGGGTGGCTAGACAGCCTAGATTTCATTCAGCAACTATGCTTGGGCTTTCCAGGCTCACTGGGTGCTCTCAGCCCAGAGCACCTGGGAAACGCCAGGAACACGCATGGAGGAGGAGATGAGGCTGTGGGAGAAGGGGTTCAGCTGGCAGGTTAAGTCCATGCCCAGCTCTAAACTGGGAAACTGGACCCACGGCAATGGGAGCTGCAACTCCCTGATCACCTCTGGGGCAGAGCCGGGGTGGACGGACTCACGGCCGCTGTGTAGTCAGGCAGGTAACGTCAAGCAGAGAGAGCAGCAGGCTCTCACGCAAGGCTCTTGCTAATGATGGTTTTCCTTGACCAGCTCTCCTCCACGTCCTTTCCCCACAGGCCAGGAGACGTGATGCCTTTGTGTGCATCAGGCACAGCATGCAGGGCCATTCCTTCATCCCTGGGGAAGATGTGCTGATGGAGATGGAGGGGGGAAAACAGCAGCAAGGACCGTAAAATGCAGCCTGCGTGTGTGCCCACTCCCAGGGAAAGCACAGTGCACACACAGCTCTGCCAGAGCCCTCTCCATCCCAAAAGCCAGGGAGAAAAAAAGCCAGAGCCTTTCTCACTTGCAAGGCAACATCAACAGAGAAAAATTCTTTTTTTTTTTTCCCCCCTCAGCTCAGGTGCTGGGCACAGCTCACCCCAGGTAGATCACTGCTTTGAAACACTTTCGCAGCTGCAAACACAAGGAGCTGCTGGAGCGTGGCAGCATCTCTGAGCATCCCCCTGTGTAGGCTCCCCACTGCAGGCTCTTAACCCCTCTTGCACGCCAGTGCCACAGCCTGGTTAATGCAACCGCTTTTAACGGGAGGTTTGGAGCAAACCTGCCTGCCTGAGCCTTGGGGAAAGCTGCCAGAGCCCCCCCAGGGGAGAACTGCAGGAGGGGAGCGGATGGGATGAGACCTTCTTTTGCAAACCCAGATCCGAGCAGCACATCCGCGCACGGCCCCGCACCATCCCATCGCGGGGAGAAAACAGCTGAGGTTAAGGCAAAACTCTGCAAACCAATGCCCAAAGCTGGATGCGTAAATAAATGCCGTATTTGGGTGCTTTGCAGAGCTAGAACCCCCAGCCGGGCAGGATCCATGCTGCTGCCAGAAAAATGCATTTCTAACTTGGAGCAAACAGCCAAAGCAGCTGCCACACACTTTCCCCTTTGCTGCTTCACCTCTTTCTGGTGGAATTTCATTTCATGCAGGAACAGGCTTATAATTAATGCTCGACAGCTCCGTGGCCTCTCCGGTCCCCCCCAATGCGCTGCTAATGCAGGTTATTCCCCTCTGTAAGCAGATGCATCCACAACATTTAATGTCTGAGCAAGCATCAGGCCTGCTGACGGAGAGGTGCTACCATTAATTTGGCCGCGACTCAGCGCAGCCCTGGTATCTTTTATTCATAGACATTGGCTTATTGTATTACTTTTTGATAAAAAGCCACATTCCCACGTTTCAAACACATTCGCTTGCAGCCAGAGGAAGACCTGAAGCTGCGTTATTTATTTATTTCACCAACAGGCTCTGGGAAACTCCATCACCTTGATGGCAAAAAGACCCTCCTCCTTGTAGGAAACATATTCTTTATGAGGCTGATCCAGCCCCCAGAGGGTAACAGGAGTTTTTTTGCCATATGAATAATGAGTTTCATAACTGAACAAAAGCCTGATCTCCTGACTTTGCTCTGCCACGGGGAAAACAGCGGATTTCACCAGCCGTGAAGTTTCACCGGGGATGCTGAAAGCACGCCGAGGGATTTTGCTGCTTGCAAGACACAGGTGCCCCCTCTGTCGTGGTGCCTTTTGCACATCCATCCCCTCCACAGCGTGCGGAGACGGAGCAGTCCCAGGTTGGGAACAGAGCCAGCACGGTCCCCAGGGGCTCAGCTCCACCGTTCAGCTCTGGTTCTGTCCCACATCTCTACCCCACCTGAGCGCTGCCAGAGGGCATCACCCCACTGCAGCCTCCCAGGTCAAGCGCGGGGAAGGGCAGAGCTGTGGATTTTCACGGGGGTTTTCGGAGCAGATCAGAGCTCAGGGTGTGGTGGGGGACTTGGTTGGCAGCCCCCATGTTTGCAAACCACATGCAGCCCCGCACAAACCCATGGGTTCACTCCACAACAAGGGGGGACCAAACTCGAGGCCACACCTCAGCCTCTCCATGAGCAGCCAAAAACCATTAACTGCCCCATTTGACGCACAGAATACAGCTGTTACTGGAGGAGACCCGGCCAGCAAGTGCCACACGGCATTGGGAAAATGCAACAAATAGACTCGGAATAGGGTCATGCAACAAGAAAGCACTGCAAACCCGGCCACAGCCCCACAAAAAAACCTCTGCTACAGTCTCCAGGTCCTCCTCCGGCACCGGGAAGGACTGGGAGAAGCCCACGCAGAGCCCGGCGCAGCCCTTACCGGCAAAGGTGATCCGTCCGGCACGTGTTGCGCAGGTCGAGGCAGTTGGGCTTCTCTTTGTCCTCGTAAGAGCAGGAGGGGACGATGGTTTGCCGCCGGCGCTCGGCGCAAGCCTGGTCCTTGCAGGAGCAGAAGAGTAGGCGGTAGGTGTACTCGCTGGGGACACGGTCGAAGAACTGGCGCAGAGCCTTGTGGCATTTTCTCCGGCTGCAGTGCTCGGTGGCCGAGATCTCCTTGCTGCAGGTGGAGATGTAGCCCGAGCGCAGGCGCTTGCAGTTGTCGTTCAGGTTGCAAGCTTTGGCCGCGTCGAGGCAGTGGTTGCTTTTGGAGTTGGTGGCGGGGTCCATTCCTGCCCGGAGAGCAAAAGGGAGAAGGGGTGAGCATAGCACTGAGGGATGGGGAGATGCTACGGGCAGGGGGGGGGCTGGCATTGGTGTGACCTCTGGTATCTCTGGCACAGCCTGTCCCTGCCCAGCTGGCCGTGGGGAGGGGGCTGGATGCACCCCTGCGGTTCCCCCCTCTTCATCCCTGTCCCCTCTGCATGATTTGGAGGTCCTCCTCCAGCACAGAAAGGGTTAATGCGCACCGATTGCATCGGGGGTGACCTGGTCAGTGTTCAGTGCATAATTCATGCCATGAACTTCCAATTTTTTTTTTCTTGTCAATTATTCAAAGAATAATTACTAATTATTCAGCCTGCTCCAAAGCAGAATAATCTGCCGAGCTGCACAGGGCCCCCCCTGGTCCCCGTATCTTCTCCTGGGGGTCCCCAAAACTGGGTCACCCCCAGCCAACCCCCCCCAGGGCTGAGCTCTGCCCAGGCAGGGACGATGAGGACAAAGCTGCCACCGGAGTTGGGCACCGGCCGGATCCCGCATCCGCCCTGGGAATCCCAGCCGTCAGCAAATAAATGGGGAGAGGATGGATGAAGCCAAACCACCGTGCAGGAACAAATGCTGAATTTTCTTTTTCTTTTTTTTTTTTTTTCCTTTTTGTCAAAATGATGGATCGCCCTCGGCAGCCCAGGTGCTATTTTAAAAGCCACCTGACTGCACCAGCCATCTCGTCCCTAATTTCCTCCCCTCCGCAGCCCAGCCAAGTCTGTGGATTCCTCCATTGTCTCCCGGCTTCCGCTGGCAAAGACGAACGACAGCATCGAGGAGGGTTTCCTAACAGACTTATTTGGAGGGCCCTGCTAATCAGCAAATGGCAAGTAGCTGCCTGGGCCAGGATGGCCCCCCCCGCCTCCCCCAGCTGCCCGTGGGGCCACCCTGCAGGCGAGCAGCGTTTTGGGGTGTCGTTTGCAGCACAGGACTCGACTTTGTCTCATTTTCCCAGTCTTATCCAACTCGGTGGGACCCTCCGAGCCCGGAACCACCAGCATGGCATTGCCTACGTTAAGGGGTCCCAATTAAAAGCTGAAGCTGGAGGACCCCGCCGGTACCATCCCATGCAAATCCAACCCACGTGGTCCCCATGACCCCCTTCACCCAGGGCCAGGACCCCCCCACTGGGCTGCAATGCCATGAGACCTCGGAGCCGGGGAGGGTAAAGCTGTTCGGAGAGAGCCCTCAAAATTCCAAACGTGTTATTCCAGTGATGAACACCCCCTGTGGAGATCTACTGGGGATGGGTGAGCTCAGTAGGACATGCGTAAAGTGAATACTTCTTATGAGATGTGATTTATCAGCAGATCTGCCTTGAAAAATAGTGCAAGAGGCAAGCAGGTCGCCTGAGCTAAGAGAGACATTTGAGCTGACGGATGGTCGGAGCATGAACTGGCGCTGCGCTGAGGGGGGAAATCTCCTCCCTGCTCCTACTGCAAATGGGCAGTAAGCTTTGTTAGGAATAAAGCCATGAAAGGAGGGAAAGGAGGTGAAGACAAGTCCTTTGAGGCTTCACACCCTCCCTGTAGAGCCAAGCCCCAAGGACAGGATGGGGCAGGGATTGCCATTTTGCAGCTGGGTCCCTCCAGCTGAGGGCTGAGGATGGACACAGCTCATGACACTGATGTCAGAGGAGCAGAAGGGGAAAAAGACGCTTGCAGAGGATGGGGGACACATGGCTCTCTCTTCTCCTTGCCCAGACCAGCTCTGGAATTTGAGGGGGATGCACCGAGTATGCACACAAGCGTGCTGGCGGCCGCCCCAGCTCCAAGCCCTGCGAGCGGTTAACAGCCAGCGCGGCGGCTCTCCGGCACAAGCGTGGGATCTGTGCAAAGTGCTGGCTTATTGTCTAATCCTCCGGAGCATCGCTCCTGCCCTGCCTGAGACCTGTAGGGACCTGGATGCATTTTAATAGAGCCGATGCTTGAAAGTGCAGGGTTTCTGGGGAGCTCATTAATAAAGTACAAGCATGAAAATTTCATGAGGCGAGAAGGAAACAGGGGCCAAGGAGCCGGGGAGGGGACCGCGCTGGGAGACCTCGTGCCACCAGCCGTCCCCTCAGCAGGCTCTGCCTGGCCTCTTGGTGCAGGATCAGGGCAGGGGCAGAGGAGGAGGAGGAGGGTGATGGAGAAGACAGCGCTGCTGCAAGCCCATGCCATGCCGTGCAACGTGGGCTGTGTCCACCCACCTCATGGGTGCTGCTGCCCCGGGGTTGGTGCCTACATGGGCAGAAACAGAGCGTGGGGCTGGTTTCCTAACCGGAGCCCTCTTCCTTCTTCCCTGCAGGCTGTGGTTTCCACAGGGCTGGCTCTGGCACCCCTTGGCATTGCCAAGCATCCTCACCACCGGCCCGGGATGTTCTGCTCCGTGGGCGAAGGCCAGGAGCAAAAAAACCCCGTGCGTGGGGAGGGCTGCGGTGCCTGCTCGTGGTGCTCGCTTGCGATGCTCGCCCGTCGAGGGCGCGAGCAATGAGAGCACAGCAGCGTGCATCGCCGCCCTCCTCGCTTACACAGCCCCTTCTTTCTAGAAGGATAAGGTAATCCTTCCGCTATCCCCACAGGCAATTAGCAGCGCTCTGCCTCAGCCTTGTTATCGAGAAACAACACTAACAGCTCATTTGCTTCAATCGCTTGGGCTCCAGGTCGGGGCTGGGGGTCCTGGGGGGCAGCCGCTCGCTGCTCCCACCGCTCCAGCCCCGCGCGAGGGGGACAGAGAAGGGGTGGAAGCATTGAGGCCACCCCCGATGGTCACAGCACATTCTGGAGCATAACAGCAGCCAATTCCCCCTCCTTTTCCCAGCCCCAAAATTGCCAGACAGGCTTCCTTCTCCTCTCGCTTTGCTTTTATGAATAAATCAACCCATGAGCGTTTAATCCCCCACTCCAGACACTTTGCTTTTCATACTTTCCAGCAGCTAAAATATTTCCTTGACGCTAATGTAATCCAAAAAGGCGTACGGGAGACGGGAGGGGGTGGCATCGTCATCCCGAACTGGTGCTAAGCTCCCCAGAGGGAGCCTGGCAAATTCGCTTCGGGAGCTAAAACCCAACGGGTGACGGCAGCGAGGGGATGCGGCGTCACGGCCCTCCTCCGAGGTGTCCCCAAAGTGAGCCGGGGTGGCTGTGGGCAGGGGGACATGGCATCGCTGCGGGGTCCCCGAGGTGCCACCACCCTCTGCCCGTGCGCACCCCATGAGGTCTGGGGACACAGGGACCACCAAAAGCCCAGGGCGGTGGGCAGCTTTGGGGGAAAGGGTTAAGAGGAGAAAGAGCAAGCAGAAGCCAAGGCATTGGTGCCTGAATTTTGAGAGTGGGTGGGGGGGGAGGTGGCAGCACAGAGGGTTGTCATGGAAATAGATAGTGAAAAAGTTCCTGAGGATGGTGGCAGAATTTGGGTTCCCGAAAGGAGGGCGTGGAGGCAGAGAGATGCTCCGAGGGTCTCGGCATCCTTCTCCCAGAAGCATCCCATAGCTCGGCTGGAGGCCGGCTGCCCCAGGGAGGGACAGCAAACAGGGTCCCCCCCTCAGCTTCTCCACATATGGGGCATCCTGCCGGTCCCAAAACTTCCAGAAGACAAAATGCTTTAGGTCGAGCGATGGATGGTCTGGTCCCCCCCAGAGCCCGGGGTTGTGCCTCCTCCTCCTCCCCTGTCTAATGCTGTGACACATCAGCAAGACAAACAAGGGGATTATGGGCTCTCCAGCCCACCTCAGCTATTTGATATAAGCCCACCATTGGAGGCAGGTGAGTTCAAAAGGTAAAAACCTAAATCACAGCCTGGGGCGAAATAGGAAGCCCAAGGAGGAGGCTGCTGCTGCTGCCCGTGGCTCTGCCATCACTGCCAGGCAGGGGCTCAAAGCAAGCCCCCACCTCGGCCGGGGCTCACCCACTCCCAGCAATATCTGATCCCACCAGGAAGGTCTGAAACAGAGAGGATCTATCCCAAAGTGCATCAAACCCTGGCAGCACTCGGGTACCAGCTCCTACATCACTCCCCTCTATCAGGCTTCAGCATCCTGGTCGGCTGGGGGGGGGGCATGTGTTGCACCCAACTGATGCTCAAGGCATCAGATCTGGGGCGGTAGGAGAAGAGACAGGCAGGAGAGTGGCCATAGGAGCTGCAGGAGCAAAGGACCAAACCATGGGGGAAGGAGTTGTAGGTTTTCCTTGCCAGGGAACTCAGTAGCAGGTCTATGTTCACAGGCAAGAGAAGATAAAACAGCGGAAGCATGTGGCTTTTATTACCTGAGAAAATTGAAGCAAGTCTGAATATATCAGAGAGACGAGAGGTGACCGGCTCGTAGGGGGAAGCTTCATAAAATTCTTCTCCTAGAGCGGGAGGGAAGAAAGAAAAGGGGGATAAAAAGCAAATTAAAAATCACAGCGAATAACCTCAGCCACCACCGAGGCTATGGCCGGGCATGGGCACCCCACAGCGTGGCAATTGCAATTTGGGGAGAGAAAACCAAAAAGCATTTAAATCACTGCCCTGCAATGACAGGAAAAGCCCATTTTGGACCAGCTCAGCTTAACTCTTGCTGGCTGAGAGCTTGCAGCCGGGCGGGCAGGTCTGCGCCGCTGTCTGCAGCTGCCTGACGGCTGGGTCCTGCCGCAAGCTCGGCTCCTTGTGCAAGTCAGGTTTGGCAGCGGCTGCATTCAAACTGACCTCAAGAGTTGAGGGAATTTGGATTTGAAAGGTCAATGTTTTGTGACTACGTCCGCAGAGTCTGGGCCAGCTGCAAGCTGAAAGTTTTAGGGTCCATTCTCAACACTGGATTATTTTATTGTTGTTGCAAAAAAACCCATTTGCCTAAAAAAACACTGTGAAGATTGTTTTCCACTCCGCTCTGCCTCTGATGCACTTTGGGAAAACTGAAATATTTCGGGGGGGGGATACAGATCCGACTGGAGAGCCTCCTTATCTGAGCACCAGAGCATCCCCACCACTGATCCACCCACGCTGTTCTCCAGAGGCTCATCCATCCCAATCCGCACTTTCCGGAGGGAATCTGAGCATGGTCCATCTGTCCCCAGGCTGGGAGCAAACCCCCTGCTCTCCCATCTTTGATTTCAGTGCAAACCCACGTGCTTTTGCTGCCTGCCCTTCATGTAACTCCAGAAAAGGCTGATTTCAGGAGAGCCGGCCACGGCTCTCAAGAGAGGAAATGCTCCCTTCAAACCCCAGCAGCCACAGGGGAAAAAAAAAAAAAAAAATTAAAAAAAAAATCAATGGCTGGACTTTGCAAGCCCCAGTCAGAGGCTGACCAGCAGCCCGGAGCATCGATCTCTGCTCTGCCTGGCAGCCTTTTCGGCAGGATCCCTGCCCACACTGGGTGCCCTCGCTGTGGGTGAGCCTGGGCTGCCCCGGGGACGGATCCCGGCAGCCTGGACCGCTCCAGCCCACGCGTGCTCTACCGAGTTATTATTAGCCCAAGGCGGCAGCATTTATCCCATGTAATTAAGGAGCCACTTGAAACCCTGTGCTGGAAAACAAGCTCATTAAGAGGCGGGGAGCAATACAGGAAGGCTTGCTCCAAGCCCAGCAGCTCCTCAGTGCCGTTCCTTGAGAATTTGGGAGAGCAGAGCTGGGTGGCTGGCCAGGGAGACCCCGGTGGGATGCCAAGTTGGGCTGTCTCCAGCGACTGTGGGTTTTCAGCCCATCACCCAGCACCCGGCCTTGCCACCACCCTCAGGGTGACGCTGGGTGATGCTATATGGGTGCAAAGCCCCCGCCGGGGCCAAGGGCAGCTCCTGCTGCCGCTGCTCACCACGGCGAAGGAAACATGCACCGGGCAGCCTGCAAAGTCCTCCTGCTTCAGGCCATCCCCCTTCGCCTCGCCGGGTTTCCTAATGCTCCGATGACAAATAGCACCTTTATTAAAGTGCATTTAGGAAACACTGTAACCTCCTGGTATATTGCTTTGCCAATGCAATAAATAATTAAATACTAGCTGAATCCTGCTGCTTGCTATGAAAATTACTGAGCATTAAAAGGGCAGTGGACTTTTCTTGAGCTCACTGAGATGCAATTAACCTCCAGGAATGAGGCTGGAGTAAAAGCAGTCCTCCTTAATGGCAGGGACAGGTTAGCTCCCGCGGCCAAGGGGCTGGGCGGGAGGCCACCAGGCACAGCATCTTTGCTAAAAGGCAGAAGATCAGGGTCTGCCTTGGGCTCCTCATTGCTTTTACAGTCACTGGTTTATGCACGTTAAAGCTATGAGCTGCTGGATCTCCCCAAAGCTTCTACCTCTCCTTAAGACTTGGTATAATCACTTCTCTTCCCACCTCCTCCTCCTCCTCCTCCAGGTACAGGTCCTGGAGTACCCATCAAGCAGTAAAGCATCCTTCATTCATGTTTGCAAAGCCCTCTGAAATTACTGAATGAAGGCTGCTAATGAGGGGTAGAGAACAATTAAGCAGTAATTCCTGCTCTGGGCTGGTTTTCGGGCTCACTAGTCCCTGCACTGACCCAGATTTCTAGGCAATTTCACCCGTGCGGGCTGCATGCTCAGGTACAGCTCCCCACATCCTCGCCGCTGCCACCAAAGCCCTCCCAGTACCCCCACCACCTCCTCTGGCTTCAATCCCAGCTCAGGAGGGAGATCAGAGACTGGCACCCACTGCCAGGGATGAGGGCTCCTCCGCCGGCTCCATCAAACGAACCCCTTTTAGCTCAAGCCGCTAAAGGAGGTGGCTTTCAGCTGGGGTAATGAAACAGGAGAGGAACGGGCATTTTTACAGGCCCAAATCGTTGGTGGAAGCGGGGCCAAGCTGCCAACACACTTGGTGTTGCGGGTGGCCGAGGGTCCGTCTGCTCGCAAGGTGCCCCCGGCCAGGAGGGCACGTGCCCTTGCGAGGACTGCGCCGAAACTCAAGGGCCCTGGTACAGGCGGTTTTGCACAAGCTGCAGCTGGATTTAAGAGCTTCCACGTGCAGAGCCAGTCGTAAGCCCATTTAAGGGATCTATACTGTTAAACTGATGCTGGCTCTGCTCCTCTCCAGTCTGGGGCCAGGCGAGCGCTGGCAGAGCTGCGCAGGGGTGGCAGGAGGGGGGAAAGCCCACGGGACAGCAAAGCAAACCCTACCAGCAACCAGCACCAGCCCCAGCTGAGCCCCTCACAGCCGGTTCCTTCCTCTGAGCCCAGTAAATTTGCAGCCCTGGACCAGCAGCCCCAGCCCTGGTGATGCCCCTGCAGAAGGGCGAGGGGCGGTGGGTGAAGCCCGCTACCTCCCCCTGCCTTCAGGCAGTAGATAATCCTGCCTTCAATGAATAAACCAGCCCCGGGCTAGCAAAATCCAATTTCAATTACCTGCACTGCTCCAGACTCTGATTTACTCCTTCACCAGGCTGCAATTACAGCAGGTTCTGGTGCATCGCCGCTCTGCAAGGTGAGACCCAAGCGAGCCCTCCCTGCTGCTCCCCAGCCCACAAACCCCACCAGAGCAAGGGCTAATGGGGGGCTGGGAGGTGGGCAAGGAGGCAGCAACAACCTCTGCACCCCAGGAGATCCCCACAACTGGTATTGAGGTGCAAAGCCATGCCCCAGCTTTGCTTCCCTCTGTACCCCACGGGCACATCTCCCGCTTTGGGACAGGCAGGAGGGAGGGAGCCCAGCTGGAGAGGAGCCCTGCCCAGGCTCGCAGGTGCCCGGGCACAACAGCTCTGCCATGATAGCGATTAGCTTTTGCTGCAAACACAGCTCCCAGCCTGTTTCTCCCTTGCCCCATGCCCACGTTGGGCAGACCAGCTCTCAACTCAACCCCCATCAGCATCCTCTGAGAAAGGGGGGACCGTCTCCTCTGCCCGGGGTACCCGTGCAGCCCAGGGCACCGCTCAGCCCATTTTCATTAGAGCAGCGAGATGCCCTCAGAGCTTCCCAACCTCAAGGTAGGTCAGGACCACCTCTTCCTCCAGCACCCTCCACCCCATTGCCACCCCAACAGAGCCCTACCCCATACCTTCGGTCAGCCCGAGGTGTATACTCCAGTAGATCTGAAGGCACTGAAGCTCCTTCTTCATCCCTCGCTTGCAGCGGCAGTCGTAGAGAGGGCTCTCCTGCAACACCTCCAGAGCCGCCTGACATTCCTTGTTGGCCAGCATGGTGTTTCTGTCGCGGCCGGCCAGGCACTGCCGCAGCGTGCGGTACCGGGAGCTGCAGCTGGGCTCTGCCGCGCACAGCTCGTTGGCTCGCACGCAGTCCACCGGCACTCGCCAGCCATGGGGGTCCTGCCCCGGCGGGGACGGGGGGCCAGCCAGCGAGCGGAGGATCTCATCTGGGCGAGGGGCAGGGGAAGGAGAGATGAGGGCAGAGAGAGGTGAGGGAGGGCGACCAGGTGGGGTGAAACCCTTGCATCCCCCCCCCCTTGACCCCACACATCAGCCCATGCCCCAGCCACGGTCTTCAACTGGTCCCCGGCATTAGAGCCACCTTCGGGCTGCTCCGGAGAGGGACAACATCCTTCCATCATGCCTAAACCGAGCCTGGATATGTCCCCAGCCATAACCCCACCAGGGCTTGTCAAACATGGCAAAATTCAGACAGTGGCCTGAAAAAGCAAGCGGGATGTCACAGGGCACCCCAGCAGCGGTGACGTACCCCAAGGCATGGGACGGGGAAGGTGGAGGGTTAACCCAACGCCTTGGCTCCCGGAGCCACGTGATGCCACGGGACTCTGTTTCTTATTAAAACCAAACAGGCAAATAAACAAACACAGAATGTTTCCAGCCCCAGTGCTTGGGGACACGAACCTCCACGCATGACCTCTCAAGAATTAAGGGAAGCAGAAAGCCCATCCAAATTCTCTGCGCCCGTTGCTGTTTTTGGTTTTTATTTTGCGGCTCATCATTTTCAGGCCCGCCACGGGATGTTCAGGGCATCTGACTCATGGGTTTTTGAGCGCTCAGGCTTGGCAGGGCTGCAGCTCGGCTGCAGATCAGTACAAACTCTTCCCCACCGGGGACAACACCCTGCGTGCCCCTGTGCTAGCCACCCCTCGGGGTGGCAACCGTCCAGCTTGCCTGGCTCCTGCCCATGCACAGCCACTGCCTGCTCCTTGGACCCTGCCTCGGCAAACCCTTCCCTTCCCACCCGGCACTCCCTCAGCTCGCATGCTCTTTCTACCATTTTCTCATTTTCTTTTGCTTTTTGAAATAGATTCTTGCCAAGTCAACCCCAGGCAAGGCCACTGGCCCGTCCCACCACGGGTGGATGGGGTAGGAGGACAGGCTGTGCTGGCATGGCTGGTCCCCCGATGCCCGCACCAGCTGAGCGATGGGGACGGGGTGGGCAAGACCCCCCCTGCCACTCCTGACCCTCCCATCTGCCACCTTGCAACCACAGGCAGGGAAAGCCCTGGAGCAGGCAAAGATGGGCACGACGGGACCTGGAGGGCATTCTCAGCCACCCCGGAGGGTGATGGAGAGGGACACCCCACTTCGTGCAATGCCTTCACCCACTGCTGCCCCTGCACCCTGGGGAGCAGCCTCCCCTTTCCCCTCGCTGCCACACGCGAGGCACCCCATGGGGACAGCAAACCTCAGCCTCCAGCTCCCAGCCCCTTTCCAACCCCATGGCCGCTCGTCTGGGTATGGCAGGGGGACAGTGACACCTACAGGCATGTGACAAGGGCCACCCGTGTCCCCACCCACCCACCCACCCACCAGGACACGCAGGCAGCTGCAGGCAGGCAGGGCTTGTCCCCTGCCACCACTCTGGGGTGGACACGCGTCCCCTGCCTCCTGCGTGCCACCGGAGCAGGCGGCCACGCACACCTCTGCCCACCTCGCCGAGACGGGATGGGACACGCTCCTCGGACCGTGGGGAGAGGAGGAGAGGGGATGCTCGGGGCTCGGACGGCTCTGCAGGAGGGATGGGGCAATGGCAGGGGTGAATGAGCAGGAAGGGCAGCAGCCCCGGGTGGAAACACGTCCGCTGCCTGCAGTCAGGCCAAGGCACAGATCCTGTCCTCCTGGTCTTCAGCCGATGCCCCCGAACAAACACCATTGGGTTCAGAGAGGTCTGGAATGTGTCCGGGTAAGGAGGAGCAGGTGCAGAGCCCTTACACCCACGTTAGATCCAATTTTGGGTGACAGATGCCCCGTGGGAAGGCCTTCCTTGGCCCTTCAGGATTATATTCCACATGGGAGGCAGGCAGGATCCATGAGCGGTGAAGGCACACTCCTGACACACAGCCTGGACTGCTGGCGGAGAAACGGGCATCCCCAAATGCTCCTCAGGGCAGAAATGCCAGCTCTTCGCCATGAGGTGGATGGTGCTTTGAGTAGAAAGGGGCCAGCTCTGCAACTTTACACACCGGGAAACCCCAGCCCAAGGCACCCAGCGCAGCAGCTGGGACAACCTGCTCCTGCTGCAGCCGTCAGTTCCAGGGCAATCGGCTCCCAGACATCGAGAGCCATCCCACAGCTCCACCGTGTGCCATTCCTCCTCCGCCGCCCTCGCCCAGCTCAGCTGCAGATCCATCTGGTGCTCGCCCCGAGCCCTCTGCCCTGAGCAAGCCCAGGTCTCAGCTCCGATTCCATCTTCTCCAGCCGATGCCATGAAGCCTCTTCCCAAAATGCCATCCAAAACCTCTCCTCCGGCCACACTCCTGTCTCCCCGCTGGCTCCATGGGCCTCCCAGGCAGGGACTGGAGGTGCTGGCAGGCAGGCAGGGAAGGGAGACAGCCTTGTCCTGATGCAAAAGGCGCTGGACCATATGGACCATCCTTGCGAGGGGGCCCAGCACCCTCGGCAGCGCATCCCCGTGCTCAGACAGGCACTCAGGAAAGCCAACAGTAAATCCACCCGCCGGGAAGCCGGCAGGGACGCGTGACGGCGAGCTGGCCCCGGCCTCCCGGCTTTTGCCACCTTGCTTCCATGGCCTTGCAGAGAACAGGGTGCTGCGTGCCCCCTCGGCAGCCCCGGGAGGGTGCCTGCAGCATCCTGCACCGCATCCAAGCTGGGAGCACCAGCAGACCCCAGAACATGGCACAAAGCCATACCACTGGAGGAAGAAAGGCAGAAGCAGCCCTTCCCTGCAGTTCAGAGCCCACACAGGACAGCTCGGTCCCCCCAAATCAAGTAGCACGCTCAGCCCTGGCTGCTAGGTCGATGTTTTTTCCTGGGACCCTCCTCTCCTTCCAGCTCACAGCACTGCCAAGCCAGGTAAAGCTCCGCAGACCCCCGCAGAGGCGCAAGGTGGGGAGTTTGGATGGAGGGGCAGGCTGAGGGGTTTTTTTTCTACCCGAAAGAAATTGCCTCACAGATACACACTCGCTGAACTCGTATCAATAAAACATCTGCAGAGAATTTAAACCTAATCCTCATCAGTCTCTGGGGTGTCAGAGCACAGCAAGGATTTGCAAGCAGATGCACAAGCCTCCAACAGTCAGCCAGCAAACAAGACGATGGCCCGCTTTCCTCTCGCTCCCACAGCTTCCCCCAGCAGCATCAGGCTGCGCTGCCTCTTTTCTAGCTGTAATACATGTTTCCTTTTACTGGTCCTGCCAGAGACCTTTGGACACAGGCAGCTTAGAGGTAAATATTTATCCTCACAACTCAACTAAAAAAAAAAAAAATAAATTGCTCAAGAACATGCAGCCTCCCAGCCTGGCTGCTGTGGCAGCGATCGCTTTCTCCCAACCAAAGGGCTTTTTTGGCTCATCAGAAAGAAGAGCCCAGACGTGAAGAGCTGGGCTTCCACTCTCCCGGGCTCCTCACGGCGAGGCCACGCCATGGGGGGGTGCTTTGGAAAACAGCAGGATGGGGTCCCCTGGTCACCCCATCCCCAACGCTCAATCTGGGGGTACGGCTTCCCTGCAATTACTGCTCAGAGTGTTGCAGCTCCTCTGGCTGGGGGGGGACAGCCTCCCTGTCCAGCCTCACCCCCCCACACACACCCCCATGAAACCTTTGGGGCACCTTTGGGGCACTCGGGAAAGGGGGCAGAGGGTCTTGCTTTCATGCAACCTCCCTTGTGAGGGCAAACAGACCACTGTTTGGATGCCTTAGGTGGGGCATCCTGGAGGTCCCCGTCCTCCTGAATCTCGCTCGTGAGATGTCCAGCAGCGAGTCAGACATGCGTACAAACAGCCAGCAGCCAGCTGGCCCCCCAAGCCAGCGCTGGGGAGCCCTTCCTCCCCCCTGCCCGGATGTCTTCCCACTTGTGCCCCCCACCTTGCCCCCAGAGCATCCCTCCTTCCTCTCTCTCTGGCTCAGAAGGCAGGGCTTGCCCCCCCCCGCCCCAAAAATCCCCAGCACGCTCTGCCGCTGGCAGGTCACGAGGAAGGACACCCCAAATTGGGGTTCAGCCCCCCCCACCGCTCAGGCCTGTGTCCCACCCCACACACAAAGGCACCTGAGCCACCAGCTTCCCCCCACCGGCACAGCACCCCTTCCCCTCGCCAGCCCGGGACTGTGCTGGGGAGCAGGGGAGAGGAAGAGCCTGTCACCCCCATTTCATCCAGGGAACAGAGCCCTCCTCGGGGATGCCGAGCACCCCGCGTGCGGTGGTCCCTCTGCCTTCACCCCCAGCCCCGCACCGCGGGATGCTCTGGAGGGAGGTTTGCTCTGCCAACCTTCAAGTCTCCCTCAGCATCTCCCCGTCCCTTCTCCCTGTCCTCGCAGGCAGGGTGACGCTCCTCCAGCCCAGGCGAGCTCGGCAGAGTTTTTCTGGGCGCTCGCTGCTGCAGCGTGCCGGGGATCACACACACTCAGGCACCCATGGAGATGCAGTGGGGTGTGGGTGCTGCCGTAACAGCATCTGGAGCACGACACGGCACACGACCGAGTCACGGTCCTGCGTGCACCCAGCCTCGCAGGAGGAAAAAAATGGACCTTTCTCATGTGCTTCCTTTTCACCCCAGCCCCACCACAATCTCTGACTTGCCCCCCCCCCAGCTTTTCGGCTGCACCTTCCCTGTCTCTGTAGGAGGCTGCCCTAGAAATGCTAAGCTTTCTTCCTGGCAGAGCCAGAGCTCCTAAATAACTCACACATGATCTAAAGCAACACGCACGAATTGCAACAAGAGGGGACAGCAATTCCCCACGCACATGCAATTAGCTCAACTTTCCGAACCGATTCTCCATGCCGAGTTCCGAGCAGGAACGGCGGGGAGGGCGAGGGGGGGGGACACAGGCAGCCACGGCAGCAGCGGCTGGAGGGCGCTGGGAGACACTGG